TGCCCTGTCACGGTGTTTCACTGCCCCTCCTCAGCCCTTTTCCCGGTGAACTCCCCGTGACACCCCAAAAATTCTCATTACACTTCAATTTGGGGTTGAAATCAGTGAGGTTTGTGCACCCCAGGATCCAACCCACTCCACAGTGCTTTGCAAACACCCCACGAGACCAGAACTGACCCATCACACTCAACTTTTATCGCTATAAAATATTGAGGGAGGAGGTTTTTGGTTTAGTTTGGAAGTTTTTTTGGTTCCCGTGACACCCCAAAAATTCTCATTACACTTCAATTTGGGGTTGAAATCAGTGAGGTTTGTGCACCCCAGGATCCAACCCACTCCACAGTGCTTTGCAAACACCCCACGAGACCAGAACTGACCCATCACACTCAACTTTTATCGCTATAAAATATTGAGGGAGGAGGTTTTTGGTTTAGTTTGGAAGTTTTTTTGGTTTAGTTTGGGTTTTTTTTGGTTTAGTTTGGGGTTTTTTTGCTTTTTTGGGGTTTTTTTGATGGATTTACAGCTCCCCACAAACCCTTCTGGTTTCTGAGCGAAGCCACCGGCCAAATTCCCAACGTCACGTGAGGGAATCTCACAAGCTCGTCGTGTTTCGTGCCCGTTAGCGCCGGGAATTTGTTGGTAGCTCAGGAAATAATTGATTGATCAGCAATTAGGAGCTGCTCCTCGGGTTCTGTCTGCTCTCGCTTTTCCCAGGTGCCAGTTACTGGTTTTACTGGAGTCGCTGTTGCCTCAGGATAGTGTGAGCTCAGAATTAGTTCCTTGGCTTTTTATAGCCTCGGATAACGACCGATTCCCTCAGTTTAATGATGTCCCTTGGGATTAATTATCCTTGTTCACATGCAAAATACAGGACAACAGGGTGTGGGAAGAGAAACAGGGAGCAGTGGGTTGATCTGCTGGTGGTGTTGGCTGTGGTGGTCCATCCTCACCAGCCCCTGACCCTCGTGGGTGTGAAGGATGCTCTGATTTCACCCCCTGGCTCTGTCTTTGGCAGCCGTGTTACCTCCGCGACTGGGAGATGCAGGTGCATTTTAAAATCCATGGACAAGGCAAGAAAAACCTGAATGGGGATGGCTTTGCCATCTGGTACACCAAAGATCGCATGCAGCCAGGTAACGTGCCCGTGGTGGGAGGTCACCCTGAGGAATCGCAGTGTTTTGGGGTTTTAGGGCTGGTTTGTTTTCAGCCTGGTGGGTGAAGAGGGAGGAATGGAGTGTGGGGTCGTGCTCTGAGCCTCAGCACCCTGGGTTGGGGGTTTACGGGGGCTCTGGGGGGCTGGAGTCTGCTCAGGGCTAGGTGGAGTTGGGATTTTTTGCCCTAATCTTGAGCTGGGGAGTGTGGGACCTCTGATGCTGGGAGTCAGAGCCTTGAAAAATTGTCTGCAGAGGAAGGTTGATCCTTGGCCAGCGAAGGGGATGGGATTTAATCTCCTTCTCTGACTTCCCTGTCTCAGTACTCGATGAATCACTCCAGGCTGCGCGGAGTTCTGTCGTGCTCAGCTCTGTCTCTGGCCTTTGAAGAGGTGACACAGCTCAGTCCTACAGAAACAGGGGACAAAAGATCTGTCCTTGCTGATCCCCCACTGCAGGGTCTGACCTGGAGCTCCCTGCCACGGTGTCTCTTCCCTCCCTGGAAGTGTTCTCGGCCAGGTTGGATGAGGCTTTGAGCAACCTGGTCTAGTGGAAGGTGTCCCTGCTGCTGGCAGGGGGGTTGGAACTGGATGATCTTTAAGGTCCCTTCCAACCCAAACCAGTCTGGGATTCTGTGATTCTATAATTCTTGACCCTGTCCATCCTCCCAACTTGACTTGTGCTTTAGTTTTGATCCGAGTTACATCACTTGAGGGGAAATCTGCCCTGTGTAGTCTGGAGAACGTCTGCCCTGTTACCTGATACAGAGAACAAGGTGAAGGGACAGGATGACAAACCCTTTACAACGCCTGCCTGGCCTTGTCATCCTTATCCAGAGCTTCTCCTTCCTTCTAGGACCTGTGTTTGGAAGCAAGGATAACTTCCTGGGCCTGGGAGTGTTTGTGGACACCTACCCAAACGAGGAGAAGCAGCAGGAGGTGAGCTGGGAGGGATAAACGGGACGGTGCTGTTGTCAGCTACCCGCCGAGCGTGGCAGGGGCTGTGCCGAGGTTACAGCTCGTGTTACCACAAACACAGCTCTCCACCAGCTCAGTGCCATCTTTTTTGAGCTCTTAAATCAAAGACCAGATGTCACTCAGCTTCCTCTCCTCTGCCTTTCCCCGCCGTATTCTTTGTACTTGGTTTTTCTTCCTAGTGAAGCGATGACTCTTCAGAGAGCTGAAAAGCTACGGGTTGGTTTTGTGATCAGCTTTTACCCAGAGAAAAAACACATTCAGGGCAGGAGAAAACTAACTGATGCCACCAGCTCTGCCTTGTGAGCTCCTGTCATTTCTGGAGTCAGACATCAAGTAGAGATTGAGGTGAAGCCATACCAAGAGCGTGGTCTTTGTAGACCTCGGGTAGAGCGGTACCCAAGCTGCCAGCCCAGACCTGCCTGCGCACCGCGGCTGTTTGGTGGCAGCTGGGTGGCAGGAGGATTTCCCTGCTCTCAGGTTTGCAGCCTGACTGTGCTCTGCCTCTTTGAAAGGTGCCCAGCTAAAAACCTTTGTGTTCCTGCTGTGTCTGGGGTTTGTTTGGGGTTTATTAGAATTCCAGACTGGTTTGGGTTGGAAGGGACCTTAAAGCTCATCCAGTCCCAACCCCCCTGCCATCAGCAGGGACACCTTCCACTAGACCAGGTTGCTCAAAGCCTCATCCAGCCTGGCCGAGAACACTTCCAGGGAGGAGCAGCCACAGCTTCTCTGGCCAACCTGGGACACTGGCTCACCACCCTCACACCAAAGAATTTCTTCCTCACATCCCATCTCCATCTCCCCTCTGCCACTTTCAAGCCATCACCCCTTGTTCTGTCACTCTCTGCCCTTGGCCAAAGTCCCTCCCCACCTTCCTGGAGCCCCTTCAGGTACTGGGAGGCCACTAGAAGGTCTCCCCGGAGCCTTCTCTTCTCCAGGCTCAACAGCCCCAACTCTCTCAGCCTGTCCTCACAGCAGAGCTGCTCCAGCCCTCGCATCATCCTGGTGGTCTCCTCTGGACTTGTTCTGGCTGCTCCAGGTCTTTCTTGTGATGGGGGCTCCAGAACTGGATGCAGTATTCCAGGTGGGGCCTTACGAGAGCGGAGTAGAGGGGGAGAATCCCCTCCCTCGACCTGCTGGCCGTGCTACTGGTGTCTGTTCCTGTGGAGAAGGGAGTGCTGAGGCAATTAAAACTTGAGCCCTTCCCACTCTGATGCTCGAGTTGGTTTCATCACTCCAAAACCAAAGCTGCACGCTTCCTAAATTCTAATTTGCCCTCAAAAATAGCCACTATTTTACCCCAAGACCTTGGCACTAACCCCACTGCCCCACAGAACCCCCTTCACCCCAGGGAGAGAGACAAAAGGGTGCAGTTGGGATGCACCCTGACCTTGGAGCTTCTGAGTAAACGTTGAGTAACCACCAGCTTCTGTTCAAACACCCAGAGCAGCCGGCTGGACTTTGTGCTTGTAAAAGCTTTTCTGAGCCGCCTGGCGCCGTGTTACCCGCGGTGCTTGGGGATTAGCTCGGTGTTGGATGGATCCTGATGATTTGCAGGGTGGCAGTTCTGCTCTTCTGGGGTAAAAGGGCGCTCAATAAATCTTAATTAGAAGAAATAATTAGTGGAATGTGGGTTCCTGGCACGGTCTGTGCCTGGAGAGGGCTGCCCTCCTCCACTCAAACACTGAGGAAGGGAAAAATCACAGAAACCCAGAACTGCCTGGATTGGAAAAGCCCTTTAAGCTCATTGAGTCCATGAACCCAACACTGACCAGTCCCCTATGACTAACCCATGTCCCTCAGCACTGTGTCTACACGACTCTTCAGTCCCTCCAGGGATGGGGACTCCACCACTGCCCTGGGCAACCCCTTCCAATGCCTCAGAACCCTTGCAGCAAAGAAATTCTTCCTCACATCCCATCTCAACTGCCCTGGCCACAACTGGAGCCCATTTCCTCTTGGCCTGTCCCTTGTTCCTTGGTTGAACAGACCCACCCCCACCTCTCTCCACCCTCCTCCAAGGGACTTGGACAGAGCCAGAAGGTCTCCCCTCAGCCTCCTTTTCTCCAGGCTCAACACCCCCAGTTCCCTCAGCCACAAGGGAACTCAGCACACTTGTGCTCCAGACCCTTCCCCAGCTCCGTTCCCTTCTCTGGACACGCTCCAGCACCTCCATGTCCTTCTTGGAGTCAGGGGCCCAACACTGAACCCAGCACTTGAGCTGCAGCCTCACCAGTGATTCCCAGTACAGGAGAGATGGAGAGATGCTGGTTGCTGTAATGCAGTGTGGGTTCACGGCTGCTTTTCTCACTTTTAAAAAGACAAAATAGTGTCTTATTCTTGAGTGAAAAGGGGCAGGTCAGCTGTGGGTCCCTGGGGAGTGATCGTGGCTCATGTGTCCCCTCTTGGGGTGCTGGCTTTTGTGTCAGCAAGCTGCTGTGTGCTGAGGAGGAGGAGGAATGCCCTATGTGGCAATGCTTGAGGTGGCTTTTGCCCTCCGAGACGTGTGTGTCTGCAGCACTGGACAGCTAAACCCCTCTCTGCTTTAGTCTCCGCTGAGCCGATAACGCGCTGAACTTTCTAGGGAGGAAGTTTCCAGGTTGCAGGTTAATACTAAACTCTGGTCTGGTGACCCTCTTGCTTCTGTGCTCTTTCTTGCTTTGCCATAACCCTGGACTGACAGGCTCAGAAGAGGAGATACAGCCCTGGAAATCAGGTACTTGCTCTTGCTGACCTCCCCGTTCCCAAGCTGGTGGGTTGGTTTCACTTTGGCTTACGGTTGAGGAATTCCCTTTTCTGAGCTCCAGAAATCCCTGTGTGAGCTGGGAGACTGCATGGAAACCGGCTCTTCTCCATCCTGGATACCTGGGAGCTGAGGCTGAGCCTGAGGAAGGCTGGGGGATGGAGCGGGATCGTGCTCTTGTCTTGTTGAGGTTCTTGAGGGGAGGAAAAAAAAGGAGTTTGGGATCCATCGGGCTGTTGTGCCTCTTGATCCTGGAGGTGTGCTGGGATGTGTGTCCAGCCAGTAGAGCCAAGAGCAGAAACTCACCCCCAGCCTTTCCCCCCCCTCACAGCGTGTCTTCCCCTACATCTCAGCCATGGTGAACAACGGCTCCCTCACCTACGACCACGACCGGGACGGGCGACCGACGGAGCTGGGGGGCTGCACGGCCATGGTGAGGAACCTCAACCACGACACCTTCCTGGTGATCCGCTACGTGAAGAGGAGACTGACGGTGAGTGCTGCCTGCCAGGGCAGAGCGAGCAGCTTTGAGACTGTTGTCATCAGTGATGGAGTGAAAAACAATGCTTGTCTTCCTCAATGCTGGTGGGAAGAAGCCAGAGAGTGGTGGT